CTAAGGTCTTTTCCAACTCTGTTCTTCTGTTCTATTATTCTATATAAAATATATTTACTGTTATATCTGTTTGACAGTTGTTTTCTTCGTGAGTTTGACCATGTATAGCCAGTTTAATGAGAAAATACAAAAAGCCATAAAACAGAACAATTTTTCTAAAATGGACTACAAAACAAGGGCAATGGTTTTAGGACATTCAGAAACTCCCTTTGTGTATAGTAATAGAGTTACATTGTTTCTCAATAACTGGAAAGGATTAACTCTTTAGGATCATATTAAGATAGTGGTCCCGTTATCAAATTGAAAGAATTTCTCTGAAACTATGTTAGACATCAGACTAAGGGGCATCTTCCTAGAGAAATTTAAGAAGTCTAAAAACAATGTAAAAGCCTTAGGCTCACTAACTCTATGTAGAGTTGGACTATAACTGTACCAGCTTCATACTAAGTAAGCTGTTTTCTCAAGAGAATTCATTAATACAAATAAAAGGAAAAAAAACAGCAGCTTTGCAGGTTGTAGGCGAAAATACACTTTATTTAACAGAATTCTAAAGTGCTACTAATGTCAGCCTTATGAGGCTGGCACTGGCAAGTTCACATAACTTTTTATCGCTGGGAGGGGCCTGATCTTGCGTCCAGCCCATCCCCCTTTCCGCTGCCATAAGCCACTATCTGGTCGCTTTCCCAGCCACCGGTTCCGACCAGCTTTCCCAAGGTCGCGTTGGTTATGCTCAACATTGGAAACTCGTCCCACTGTAGCCATGCATGTTTCCAGCACCTATAAGAGTAAAAGAGGAAGCAAAATATTCCAGATATTTGCAGGCACCAGACACAATTATATTTTTTGTGCTTTCAATAGCTTTTAAATGTTCAATATCATAGGAGAGAGAGAAGACGACTGCCTTGAGGCCCACTCCAACTGAACTATCCCCTTCTAACCAAGTGCCATTTATTACCATCCTCCCTGTGAGAAGAAACCTAGTTTTATATAATCATAGCATCAACCTCTTCAGTTTTGAAAGCAAGTTCTGAACAATTTGATTCAACACAGAAATATTTAAATGATGACCCCACATAAATCTCCTCACTAGAGGCATCAGCAATGGAGCGAGGGAGGCAGAGTGATACAAGCAACACTGCAGGATCACCATACAACCCACCCACCCCCGCGCCAATCCCTTTTCTACATGTGTTGGCATATCCCAAAAGAGGCATTGCTTGTAGGGAAGCACTGATGAAAAACAAAAAACAAAATAGGTGATGCTCTTCCCCATCAAGACAATTCTAGGTGTTAAAGGAGCCTTGCCTTTTATCTTCACTAATACTCCTGATCTCTAAAGGGCTTACCTGTATTTGCCTCTTGGAGGGCAACTGTATAATGGCTGTTCCACTCATTTTCCTCAGTATTACCCCACAGGTGCCTAAAAAAGAAAGTATCAGCAAGACTGCAATATTCTGACCAAATACTGAATTAGGCCAACAGAAATCATCCAACCACAAACATTTTCAGCCTGTTCCAATAGAAACATAAATCCAGGATCTGCTATAGGCCAGTTTTGCCTAATGTGATATCCTAAAGCTGCGTTGGCAGCCATTATACAAAGTTAGTATCTGGCATCAACCCCTTAGCATTTGGAATCATTACTTAATTTTTTGAATCCAGTCCATTGTGTTGACTATGAATACATTTGGATGATAATCTGAAACTAGACTGAATACAGCATCAAATTAATACTCTTGCTGCATGCATTGGACCTCTATTAAACATCATCTCTTGGTTTCCAGCATTATCATCAGCATAGATTTACAATCTAAAACATATTCTGAAGATAATGTTCTACAATACCTAATGCTGGAGATAGTTCATCTTTTTAATTAACATAATTAGAATGACTAGCATGAGTCCTGATTGTAACTTATTTGCTGACTGTGTGAAGATTCCACATTAATTGAACAAAATGATTTAGGAAGGATTCATGCTGATCTATCTACGAGAGTTTATCCGATCCCATTCTGGAATATGCGGTATTTTTTACCACTTTTTATTAGGCATCTAAGCATGAGTTAAGCTAAGGAAGTGTGGTTGAAGGGACCTTTAACTACCCTAGGTTTCATTTTACAATCTAACACTTACCAGATGCAGTTTTGTTTGCTTTCGTCAAACATAATTGCTCAACAGCCAACACAGTACGAGTAAATATTATTTAAACATAAATTGCTAAATAGGGAGAATAATATAACTCTTAAGAAACTGTTAGTATTCTGTTGCAGGTTTCAAAATCAATGTACAAAAGTACAATTCTATTGAATGACCTTCAGAACACCTTTTAAAACAGGGAAGTCAAAACAGGGAAGGAGACATTGCATGCAACTTTGAGAAATGGACTCAAAACACAAAAACATCAAAAATTTTGGTAAATTGGGCTGGAAAGAAGCCAAGGACTCCCAAACTGCTTTGCTTCTGACTATCCAGATTTGCTTCATCCTTCCAAACTGTTTCTGGTTTCTACTAGATCCTGACCTGCTGCTCGGATATACTGTGCTCCTTTCCCAGGATGACTCTCCAAGTTATTTATGAGGGTTCCAAGTGGTAGAGCTCCAACTGGATATGCATCCCCATCATTAGCAGAGACTGAAAGACAAAAAAAATAAGGACATTGAACATAAATACAACAAATAAACGTGGCTAGTAAAAAGTAGTATACCACGGGAAAATAAATAAAATCTCTGCAAAAACATTGAGAGGAAGAAATGAACTTAGCTCTCGTGTAGGAGCTAAGTACTAGCAGAAGGGGGAGAAGGGTGCTGCATCCAAATGTGTATCCATTCATGCACATTTTTAAGGAGAGATGCATAGTTTAGGCTCAAATAGACAACCTTAAGAATAAGACAGAACCACTTAATTTTTTTAAAAGTCACAATACTCTCAAATAAATATTTTGGGCTTACAATGGAGTCCTTCATGATTTCTGAGTTTGGTTTTTGTGTGCAGACATTTCATTATCTAACTCAGTGCAAGTAAGTGTAGGTTTGCTCCCTGATTATATAGTTTCTCCTAGAACACAGAAAGATTCTGACAACACCTTTATCAAAACTACACCTCTAAGACAAGTTGACAAAAGGAAAACAAAACTCCAAACCAAATTGAGGAAGCTAAATGCCAGAAGCAGAATTTGGTAATTAACATGTTCAGCCACCCAATATCCACCACAGAACCCAATATACTCCAGAAATATCTGAACTATAAGACAGAGGATGTCAATCAGTTAGAATTCTTTGCAGCCTGGGAAGGACTTGCCATAATGATTTAAGAAAACATCTAGCACTGGTGATGCTACCTAGTTTGATAATGAAACATCTGCAAGAAAATAACCAAGTTCAGAAAGCACCAAGAACTCCACAGTTCAACTCTGAGCTACAAATATTCTCAGTAAGAAAACATATGGAAAACATCATACTACAGACCAGAAGAAAACAGAATCAGAATTAACTCAAAACAGCACTTTGAGGCAGGACAAAGCAGCACTCAAAAATGTACAGAATGACCAAAACCATCATTATCCTCTCATCAGACAAAGGCCATACTAAGGTTATCGTTGACAGAACACAATACTTATAGAAAGCCAAAGAACTACTGGAGGACAAGTAAACCTACATCCCATAAACACCAACTCAATCCAGAAACTGGATAACTTAACCAAGAAATGTCAAATCACCAAAGAACAGTGGCAGGATATTTTGGAAGGATATTAAAACCTGGATTTGTTTATTGGCTGCTTGCCATTGGAGGTAGTTGATGGGATAATAAGACTTCATCTCATTGCCATTTGTCTTCTTGGTTCTGCTTTTTTGCATACTTTTACATTTTTAATGTGCATAATTTTAAATTGCTTTTTTATTTTTATTTTTCTGATTTGTAAGCTATCCAGATTCACCTTATCGATGCATATAAATTTAATAAATTTATACAAGCCCAACATATCCATTCCTAAATCCAGAACTAGCCAAAGAATCCATTACAGCAGTGCTACACAACACCCTGGCCTAGACAAATACACTATGATTGAAATATCCAGACTCATGGAACCCATCAACCTCTGCCTCACAATGTATTTTCAATTTGATAGGCAAATATACCAACAACTCTCAGGAAGCCCAGTAGAATTACCATTCTCAAAATTCATAGCGTAGATCAGTGGTCACCAACTGGTGGTCCGTGAGAAAAATTATTTGCATTTTTTATATTGCACTAAATACTATTTATCTTTTTTAAAAAATCATATTAGTGGTCCACAGGATTTAAAATTATGAATTTAGTAGTCCCTGAGGTCTGAAAGTTTGGTGACCCTTGGCATAGACCGTAATGTAGCATTTAGAAATTACAGCACTCTCACACACAAAACCAAAATTATGAATCTAATATGTAGACAATACTTTGTCATAATAACAAAGGAACAACATGAGACAATCAACAACATCTTCAAAGAAATATAATGACAAAAAAAGCACACAATCTTTTCTACATATCCTCAGCAAAGGAAATGATAGCAAATTAGAAATTCAAATCTTATCAAACACAATCCACATTAATGCTCCATTACCAACATAAGAACCCACACTCTCACAAGAGGTGCTGTGGAAAAACATTATTCAGACAAGAACAAACACAATGCAGCAACCCAGAATACCAACAATTGGAATTAGACCATCTATAAAGATGTCTACACAATATCTTCAAATAAATGCAAAACCATGAAAGTTTATCAAAAAGTGCCTGAACACTCAACCCAATATAGCACAACCAACACAAACTATAAAAAGGATAACACTTTATAAACATGTCAGAAACTACAAAAAGACTGTTATGACTACATGGCATCACTGCAGCACACACAACCCTAAGTTACGTTTTTTTTTCTATTTGCCCTACATCATCCCTTAGAAAAGTGTAGCCTTCAATATTAATACTAATAATCAGCTTGCGATATGATGCAAAAAGTCTGCCTCAAAATTCTTCTTTGCTTAGCTTTAGGTTTGGAGGAAGTAATACATCTTGAAATCTAGCCATTTACATCTTTAGTAGCTTAAGTAGCATTTCAAACATTACCTGCCATCCTTTCTATTTTTCCTGAAGTTTTGATGATGTCACCAACCGCCATGTTTTCAGTTGCAATGATCCAGCGTTTCCGTTTGTCTCCAGCCACTAGAGCTATATGACCTGATCTTCAAAGGGAACAAAATAAATCAATAAAAGATGAACAGTTCAAAGGATTGGCTTTACTCAGAATAAAAAGTAAACCAGCTGGGGCAAGAAAGATAATGTCAAAACATTTTTGTACAACTGTTCAAAGATAGAAATCTATCAGCATTCTGAGCTAATCATGCAAATTGCTTGCTTCTCAGTGGGATTTTGGAGAGACAGCTGCTACCCAGTCCCAGTTATATCAAGACCTTTCATTTATATAGGCTGCTCTGACTTCCATTCCCTGAACACAATGAAAAATAACTTCTTGATACGAACCATGGAACGACCTATTTAGACAACAGATGCAAAGTGAAAAATAGCTTCTTGATGTGAACCAGAGAATGATCTATTTAGACAAAAGAGCTTTTAAAACTGCACCCGCTGTCTTTTCCTAATACTCCATTTCATTAGTGTTTCTATAGTAATTTGTTTTTCTTATAGTGATCAGTTACTTTTCCAATGTTACTTAACGAACTCAATCTTGATAGCATTCTTTTCAGGGAATTATCTTTTCTCCAGGACTTTTTCATACTAAGAATTCTGTATATGGTGTTTTTAAGACTATCAAGTTGCTCCGAATCTACGGATATTTCCCTTAAGTTGGGCTGTTGCTGTCAAGCAATAGTATTTACAAAACTAAGATGAAATTGAAACTCAACAAACCTTCAATCTGCTTGTCAACTCAGTTGCCTATTACTTACCTACACGGATCATATCGGACCAAAAGCACTTTTTCCTCAAATGGACTAGGCTCTGCTTCATTTGAATAACGCAGTCTTTGGAAATCAATCATACGGTAGCATTGTTTATTTCCTCCTCCAATTCCATTCACACGGACACGACCTTATGGTGGAAATAGTACTTTTAAACCATCATGTATTGCACTGAAACTATATTCCAACTGCAAGGTTTTTTTAAAAATGTTACAAATCTCAAAAGTGCATGAAATGGGAATTCATTGTTATCACTGAGCTCTCATAAGATATTCAAGCAAGAATTTTAATTTCACAACATTTGGCGATTTTACAAGAATTTAGCATTTTCACTTTTAATTAATTAATTTGGAGGACCTATAGATGGCATTCCATGAGGGTTTCTATAGAATACTCATAGAACATATAGTACTGTAGTATATTAATTCTAAACATACCATATTGTGAATGTCGTGGCACTATGGCACTACACACAACATCCCTTGTAAAGAGGGATTTTAAGTCATCAAGAACATTGTCACTTATGTTCACATAGCACTCCTGGCCATGGTTTTTGTAACTCACTCATAACATATGCTTGCAAATCAGTGGCACACTGATACAAACATAACTCCATAGAACGCCAGAAATGCTCAACTGATAGAATTAAATTAGGCTGAACTATCCACCTATTGAGATCAACAGATAAATCAACAGACTTGGATCAATTCTTATGGAGGATTTACAAATCTCCCCAGAAATTCCATTGTGTGTTATCTAGAGTTCATAGCTAAAGTCACACACATTATTAAGCAGCTATAACCAATACTTGGCAAAGAGACTGTATTTTGTCAGACATTAGATGTCAAGCCCATACATACAGATAACCACCAAACCTGCAGCAAATTCTCAATGGAACAAGAAATAGCATAATGATACTAACAAAGAACAAGATCTTGCAACAAATCAAGATATCTATTTTGCCCCCAGCATTACCATAAATCATAAATCCCACCAACTTCACATACATAAGAGACTCCTTCACATGCTTGTCTTCTAGTGTAATAAATACCATTATTTGCAGTGCCCTTCTGGATTCAATGTAGGACCAAACAAGCAATGCTTTGCACAAAATAATACTCAAGACATCAAAATAGGAACAAAATAATAGTCGGGCGTTTCAAACTTCTAGACATTCCATTCCAGATATCAAAGTACTCATTTTGGATACAAAAAATTTCACAAGTTCAATCAAGCAAAAGATTGTTCACATAAAACAGGAAGTTTCAGGACATCTTAAAATGTTTCAACAAACAACGAATTTTTAATATATTATAATTAATTGATACAATACTTTTTCCAATGTAACTGGCATCAGCATAACCATCCTTTCTTCTGCCCTCTTCTCCTTTCCCTTCTCCCAGTTTAAATCCTACAATCTAGTCACTCCTCTGTATCTGATGAAGTGAAAAAACCTTACAGGACAGAATTGCAGTTCAGAATGTACCTGTGTGATCGCGACCTCCTGTCTTTGGTTTGGGAATGGGCTTAATGGTATACTTTGTCCTGCATTTCCACAAAGGATCACTAGTTAAGACCCAGGTAGAAGTACTGATTTCACGGGATGCACCAAGTTGGCTAACCAGATAAAGCGGTCGGAAAGATGCAGAGATCTAGTAAAGGCAAAACAAGCAAACAATAGGATATGAATGGTAAAATTTTAACTGCAGGGGTATAACTGGATATAACATGAATAAAAAGTTTTCATCTTTGTTATTTAATGTTTTAGAAAACATACTTTCAAATACAGTGACAATTTAGCAGCAAAAACTGCTAAAACATTTAGCAGTTTTAAAACATTTTGCTATTATATGTTAAATATGAAGCCATTTTTGCAGGTTTCCTGTGAAAGACAAGCTGCTTCATCTAAAAATTAATGGCATATAATAAGTAAGAATATTCAAAACTAAAAATGTTGCAATCAAAATAGATACCTGATTATTAAAATCATTAACATTAATTAAGATGCTCACCCTATTTACATGTTTGAATCGGGAGCATTTATTTTACATTAGAGGAGGAAAGGCATCTACAAATGTCTAGAAATAATTACACACACTGTTAGGTAAACAGAATCTCTAAAATATGGATCTCACTGAAAGACTGGGCCTTGAAAGTTAAAGGTTCAGGCCTTAATATAGCAGAAAAATAATTAAGATGGTTAAGTCCACTAAATAATTCTACTCAGAAAGAATAAAAGCAGAATAAAAAGATAGTATTATGTTCCTATCCATTTTTTTTCTCTATCAATTTATATAGGTGCTTTGAGCTGATATACAAATTATATCAGAGATATTTGCTTGGAAGAACACTACTACAAAAAGATCCAGAATCCTGGATAATTTATAATCCATTTGGCCAAAACAGCAAAGTAAATATACCTGTGGAAGATGATGACTTGAAGACAGCAGCAGGGAACCAAATTTCTGGATCAAGTTTGATATTGCCATTAGGAATAACTACTTGCTTTCTGCTGTAGACAGAAATAAGACAATGACCATTAGAGTTAACACATACATCTTAACCCTTTCATTCATAAGCAAATCTACATCTTCAATTCCTCCCATATATTCATGGTCTTTACATGATCAGACTACTTTTATTCAAGTCTATCACAGTCTTCCCCCTTTCTCTTAGTTTGATACAGAACACATAGGCAGCTGGAACTAGCAGACAGGGTTGTTAATGAATGAATTCCCAAAGAATTGTATTATTAGTGCATAAGCAGGGGATCCACAGCTGAGTTTCGACCATCATTTGTCAGCTGTGACCAGGGGGGCATTTGCTCAGGTTCGCCTGATGCGCCAGTTGCGGCCCTACCTGAACCGGGAGGCCCTCACAACAGTCACTCGAGCCCTTGTGATCTCTAGGCTGGAATACTGCAACGTGCTCTACATGGGGCTGCCCTTGAAGAGCATCCGGCGACTTCAGCTAGTCCAGAATGCGGCCGCGCGAGTGATCGTGGGCGCACCACGGTTCGCCCACATAACACCGATCCTCCGTGAGCTGCGCTGGCTTCCTGTTGGTCTCCGGGTGCACTTCAAGGTCCTACTTACCACTCACAAAGCGCTCCATGGTAGTGGATCTGGCTATTTGAGAGACCGCCTTCTGCCAATTACCTCCCTGCGTCCCATCAGATCGCACAGGGTAGGCCTCCTCCGAATCCCATCCGCCAGTCAGTGCCGACTGGCGACTACGCGGAGGAGAGCCTTCTCAGTTGCAGCTCCGACGCTATGGAACAATCTCCCCGTGGAGATCCGCACCCTCACCACCGCCCAGGCCTTCCGCACGGCCCTTAAGATCTGGCTATCCCGTCAGGCCTGGGGATAAAAATCTTAGTTCGTCCCCTCCCGAATGATGAATGAATGTTGTGCTCTATTTTTAATATTATGTATTGTCTTATGCTTTTTGTCTTTGTACTCCCTTCCCCGTGTTTTTGTAAGCCGCCCTGAGTCCCCTCAGGGAAAAGGGCGGCCTATAAATTATAATAAATCTACCAAATCTACCAAATATATCTTATATTTGTAATATTTCTGTTTGACAGATTGCCGTGCAGCCCAATTGCAGAGGAACTGCATTGTACTGTAAAAGGCAGATTTGAAATAACAGGCTTATCCTTAATCCTTTGCAGAGGATCTCGGTCATGTTTGCAAAAACACATTTCGCTGCCATCTCTCTCACTTTATTTAGCTGAAATCAGGGGACATGATTTCTCTTTATAGTCATAGATCATTTGAGTCCCACTGACTTAGTATTAATTTCTCCCTCTCCCCTAAGATCACACACAGAATGAATTGAGCGAGGATGTTTTTATAACTTGAAAATGTTACAGAGTCTCCTTTGGCATACAGAAGGGATATTCCGGTAATAATATTTTTCGTTGGAGGAACGAAGTGTGTCCCGATCCGCCTGCACCTACTCACAATTACACTTCACAGCGTAGCCATATCGCGGTCTCGTTCCGCCACCCCAAACCGGAGCATGCGCATTCTGAGCCGGAAGTACAATATGAAGAAAGCGGAAAACTTTGAGGACATCGCTGGTTTTCATGTAGAAGGGATCTTGCTTTCATCAGCTCGATTCCCAGATGCGGCTGGGTTGCAGTTCTCATCGTCCCTGCCATGAAAGCAATAGTGGGAATGGTGGGAACTAAAGTCCCACTTAGAGAGGAGCTGCTTAATCTTTTCCGTTACTATACACAAGAGTCAAAACTTGCCACCCTCCCTCCTCCTCAAAATGCACGTTCAAGAAATGTAGAATCTCGATTCAAAATGGGTTGGGTCTTTTCTTGTTCAAACATGCTTGTTTGGGAAAGAAAAAATAGCGGCATAATCTTTTGGCGATCTACCCAGAACTATTCGGTTTATTAAACCTTATTTGCTTGGATGTTTGTTGTTTGTTGTTGTTCTCCGGCGTAGAGTTCCTCTGCCTTTAAAAGTTTGGCGGACAGGATTTTCGGAAGTGAAGTTTCCGATCTAGATCGGAAACAGCCTGGCTTTAATTTGTTGCAATTAAAAAACATCGTAATCCATTCGATAGATTCTCCTTGGCAGATAGTCGCTTGACAATATGATCTTCAATCGAGGCTAGGCTTCATTGAGCCCGCTCTGGCTCCTTTGGCAGTAAAGTTCATGCCCCCCAAAAGTAGTCAATTCTTTTTCCCCCTAAACCAACTTTTAACGGCAGAAGTAGGGCGCTACCGAAGATGAGTTGCAAAAGTCCTCGCAAACGCTAGATAGCGGCAAATCCATTTACCAAGTTCCAACGCATTGCAACGCTCTACGAGCTGTATGGAGTTGTGCAGCCCGGAGCCAGTAATTGGAATCAGACCTCGTTACCAACCTTGAGAAAGAACAGGTTCGAAGTCTATCGTGTGATCGCGAAGAGTAGACAGCGAATTGATGGCACATAATCAATTAATCAAAGTCTGTAGAGTCATCCAGGTCTGGTTGTCCCAAAGGTGCTTTTTTTTCAAGAGGCAACTGGACATTCTTGTTTTTTCCTTTCACTTCTCATCCAAGAAGCTTCTTCAGCACTGACAGAATAGTGGGGAATGGAAGGAAGGATTTATATTCCTTGCAGACAACTGATAATCTGCATCCTTTCAGAGGGCCGTTGAAGCACTTGGAGGTTTATCTGTGTCCTAGTGTTACTGTAGTCTGCAATTTTTCCTCTGAAAATCTATTCCTACTCCTACACCATTCAAAGGGTGTTCATCTCAAATTGTATAGCTAAAAATCTGTAGAGATTCTCAGTCATCCAGGTCATGGTTGTCCCAAAGGTGCTTTTTTCGGGAGGCAACTGGACTTTTTTTTTCTTCTGAAGACGTTTCGCTTCTCAGCCAAGCTGAATGAAGAAGCTTCTTGGCTGAAGAAGCTTCTTGAATGAGAAGCGAAACGTCTTCAAAAGAAAAATCAAAGTCCAGTTTCCTCCTGAAAAAAGCCCCTTTGGGACAATTAATCAAAGCCTAGCTCGGCGTTTTCAACTTTGGCAATTTTAAAAAGTGTGGCTATTAAAATTGCCATAGCTCAAAAACCACTCAACTAAGCGTATTAATTACATGACGTACCATTCCGTCCCCTCTTCCCCTGTCTCCACCCTTAAAGGGAAAAATCAGCGATCCAGATGCATTTCGGGACGCGTCTGGCTATCGCCTGGCGGCCATATTGGACTTAAAGGGGCTGCGGCAAAATGAGGAGGAGCCAGAGTGGGAACTGTTTTTCTTCTTTCAGGGGCGGCCGGAGCGGCTTCGGGAGATCGGGAGTCTATTAAGCGCATGCGCGCTTTCTCCTCCATCCTCTGACTCTTTTTCTTAAGAGACCCGAAGGAGGCCCAGGTAGGAGCTTCTCCGTGCCTCTTTCTCTCTTACGGAGGCGGGGACATGGTGAGTTATCCTCGTGGAAAGCGCTCATCTTGGCCCGAGAAGCAGCTAGCGGCTAGCCTGTCTGACACACGAGCTTAACGTCGGTTAGGGAGACTGTGGTGGTAGATGGGGGATGGCCCCAGAGTACCCCCGGGCAGAGGCGGGTGAGCTGCAATAACTGGCTGAAAATAGCGGTTTTTCCATAGGCGTTTGTGTAATTTTACCCTGGCGTTGGATGTTTTGTGGAAAAGAATCTCCATAGACATATTTTATGGAAGTAAATACAATTTAAGCGATCAGGCTAATCCATCTGCATTTGAAAACCCTCCTTTTCATTCCTATATGGGGGAATTAGGAGGACCCTGATTTTTTTTGCCGTTGCAGATTAAATTGGGTGCTTAGAGTGAATCCGGCGGTACATTTAGCCTGGAGGCACATGATTAGACATTGAGAATCATGTCTCAAATCCTGCCTTTTCTACTCACCACCGCCGCCACCACCCCACATGCGCACAATCCCTGTGGCCAACTCCTTATTTGTGCTTCAGTTGTCATTGTGTTTCCTTCTGGAAGGGTGTGTCTCTGCACTGCTGGCACAGCAAAAGGCAGGTCTCCGGGCTATGGGGCAGGTGCTGCTCCTTTGCTGACAGCGGTTGCCTAATTTGTGAGATAGGAGGAGCCGATCCGGCTGTCTTCTCTACTGTCTAAGAAAATGATTCAAAACAGCTGCTACTAGGCTAGGTTTTGGATTCCTTTAGGGATGTTGGATAAGGGTGATGTACCTTCTAATATCACAGACCTTTATCCTTTTGGAATATTATCACGTCTGAGCTCTACCAGTGAATGAGTTTAGAATCAGTCTGATCTGTATTTTTTCTTTTTGTTTTGTTGTTGTTGCAATATTTCCCATCAAATTTGCATTGTAAAAGTTGAAGTAGTTAGAACCAGGGATAAAATGATGGGTTAGAGATCATTACTCTGGAAGTAATAACTACAAGTTCTTGTTTAGGCGTTTCCCTTCCCCATTCCCTTCTTTGATGCAAGACAATCCTTTAATGTATCTGCTATATTGTCTATAGCTACAATGTGGTAAAGTGAATCCTGTGATGTAATATTTGTATAACTCTATTATCATTTTTTATTTCCTTTATATACATAATTCAGGGCTATGTGATAATCTTTTGTATGGACTTCTGTTACAATTCACTCTTTTATTAATCAGTCTGATGGCTGAAATTTTTGATCTTTGAAACCAGTTTTGGGAGGAGCTGGCATGCTTAATTACAAGGTTCCATGTGTATGTGGCACTTTCTATATATATAATCATGATGCTATTGCATTTCGGTAGCTGTGGGCTGTGCCATCCTGAAGAATGGAAGTTTAATGGATTCTTTCATTTCTAAAACTTTAGGCAGCCTTTTAAAAATAATTACTTTCAGATGTAGTTATATTCAGAATTAGATATGTGCAGTTTATATTACATATAATGAAAGTTTTCATCTTTTTAAAGTCTTTTTTTAATGAGATATCAAAACAAAACATACTTCTGTTTGATCTTCAGTGTAACTTTTTGTTACATTTAACAGAAGATGGAAGTGGCAATGATGATCAGTTTTGCCATCTAAGCAAGAATTGTCTCCCAACTCCAGTTGGCTAGATGCTTCTGGCACATTTATTATTTATTACATTTGTTTGCCACCAATCTCTCCACAAAGTGATTACTATGACTCTTTTTTCTGTATAGGTTCTATATTGGTATCATGGTGTTATTTCCTGCACTTATAGAAATTGACTTTCAGGTATATTGGCCTACAAAAAGGATAAAGAGATGAACTTGGATAAATATATATACGTTTAAATATATCACTTATCATATGTTTTATCCTCTATTTGAAGAAATAAACATATGTTAGATTACTAAGCATTACTTATTTTGGCTTGCTTCAAAGGAAAGAAAGGTAAGATTTGAATTTTAAAATAAACATTAATATTTCAAAATATTGATTATTACCAAGGTTGCAGTCTTTAGTTTTGCTTGTCATCCAAGAAGCTTCTTCAGCTCTGACAGCATAGTGGGGAATGGAAGGATTTATATTCCTTGCAGAAAGCTGGTAATTTGCATCCTTTTAGTGGGTAGTTGAAGCACTTGGAGGTTTCTCTGTATTAATATTACTTCAAGGACAATGTGGTAAACCACTTTTGAAAAACCCTGTCAAGGAAATTGCAACAACCTGTTCAAGCAGTCTGTAAGAATTGGATATAATTGAACAGAAGGGGAAAAATACTATTCTTCAATGTTGATGAGTTAATGTACTGTACTATACTTTAGGATAGTTTAGGAGGAATAAAACAAACTCTGTGGCACATATCAATCTCCTCTGATATCTTGATACTTATCTTCTAGAATATGATACCCAGGTTGTTTAATGTAAAATAAGCCCAGATTCGTAAAAGGAACTAATCTTCTAGTTAAATTGGCGCACAAGCACAAAGCGTTTGGACTGCTGTAAATTCATGTTTCCAAAAGCTCAGGGGCCAACCTTCCCAAGGAGCTTTGAAGAATTACTATAGAAAGGCCAAAATGAGATTAAATAAGAGATCTTACAATAGGAAATGGGTGGGGGAGGAGGAAACATTAGAAAATCTCAAACTTTCTCAAGGTTTTAGTGTACTACCAAATAAATAGTAAATTGTTTGTGAAAAAGTGTATTTGTACTCATGGTCTTTGTACAGAAGATTCTTATTTAAGATGAGAGCAAGAGGGGTCATTAATGCTTTAATTTGCAAGTCAAGCACACTGATCGAATGTTTCCCCAGTGTTTTCTCCTGAGATTTTTTTTTTAATCCTGAGAATTTCTGTTATAAGCCAAAAGCTGCCTATATAAAAGAAAGAATTCCAAGTATTCAATTGATTTAAGCATTGCTTTATATTCTACCATTCAATCCATTGTAATTTCTTTATTGGGATTAGAAAGAAGACAGCAGATTGACAATCATTTACTGAATTAGATTTCAAGAGACACTATTATCAAATGACATTATAGCACACAATTCCAAGAGATTTGTGAAATACTTGATTTTAGATGCACATTTCTAGGTTTTAAATTTTAGGCATTTAAAAAAATTAATACTGTAAGGGTAATAATTAGTCTTTGTATTATAAAGCAATACCCATATATGCAAAATCAATTTGATTACAATTCACATTAAGAATTTGCAAATGGTTATCTTTTTTCTTCCATTCAAATGTTATTTTTAGAAACAATTTATCATCCAAATATTTCAACATAACAGCTGTCAAAAAATAGAGACTATATTTTGAGAATTTTTACAATTTGCAGATTGGTTTGCCCTGTGCTATCCTTCGGTTTTTAGATTCTAAAACAGCTATGAAACTATTTATTTAGTATCTTTTATAACATTGAAGCAACATTGAAGCAATAACATTGAAACAAAGGTGATTTGGTAGTGTTCACAAATTTAGAATTTTTCCTTAAATTCTGAACAACCAGAAGGAGGAGTACCCATTTCCTGCTGGGTTATAGAGAGACAGGGAGACTTGCTAGAAATACTGACTAAATGACAAGTTTGTGTTGTTGGAAGGATGTCTCCAACTAATTTATAAAGAAGTTGGATTATTTTTGATGGGCAGTACTCAAGGCGACATAGCACTTAATATTTGTGTGTAGGTGTGAGAGAGAGAGAGTGAGTGAGTGACATAGGCTGGTAGAATTAAAAAAGGGTGAAAGAAAATTGCTGACTGATGACTGATAGCGGTTTCATTGGATGATAGTAGTATTTGAAGATGTTCAGATTGCTGTATCTATTATGGTTGACAACTTAATTAGCTTATATTTCCATTTTATCTTGCTGGCCATTCCCCGATAGTGGTAGCATATCCATATCCAGGCAGGTGGTAGAATAATTTCCTCATGGCTCTTCTTCAGCAGCATCACCTAACTCAGTGTTTTTCAACCNTAGGAGGAAGCATAATAACAATGTATACAAAGATATCTTGATTGTCAATATGTGAATTTTGATAAAATTCAAGTGATGACTATGGAAAGAACACAGAAAGACCTTGTCAGCAATCGACACACTGTGTGTCGTTGAAGAGGTTTTTATGTCATATGTGTTGTGTGTTTGTGTTTGTCTG